ACACACATACACACACACACACACATATATATACATACACATACAAAATTTAACTGGGGGGAAAAGAAAGAACACTGAGCATTAAAGAGAACTGAAGAGAAAAAAATGTGGGCAATTTTGAATTTATGGAGATTTTCCTCATAAACCAATATGGATACAGATAAAAAATGCTACGAAACATGAGAAAACAGCATTTAAAAATTCTTACATAAACATGGACTTTAAACATGCCTTCTCAGCATCATATCAACCAGCTTTTTAACTTATACAAATGTATAGGCCTAAATTTGTATTCTCAAGATGATCTGATAGAGCCACCTATTCTTTTTGTTGTTGTTCTGCCTATTATCTCTTTAAGTGATGCCCTGAGCTAGTTTTCTACTAATCTTTATATAGCTTAGAATTGAAATAATGCAGCAGGTTTAAAAAACAGAGAAGGCATTTAATTATTAATTCTTGCTGGCACACTCACTTGAGTGCTGCTAAAGGGGCAAGGAGGCAACATCTTCTGACCTCCTCTAACCCCACAAGAGGAAGACAAAATCGCCATCAGCAGTGCCATGCTTGCTCCCATGAGGCCAGACATGCTGCCACCCTCCAGCCCTCTTACTAACCTTGACACCAACTATTCCTCCCGCAGCACCCACCACCTCTCTGCTGGGTTTGATAATTCCCTGCAGCGGCCACACAGAACTCACAGATTATGGGGTTTATTAGGGTAGTAACAGGCTACAGTTCAAGTTCAGGAACATGCTCAGTCTCTCTCAGCAGCCGGCCATCTCTCTGTCTCTCTCAGTAGCACATCTCTCTCTCAGCAGTGCATCTCTTTCACCAGAGTGTCTCTCTCAACCAGCAGTCAGAGAGACTCTCTTTCTGCCACTAGGAGAGCTTCTTTTGAGCCTGGCAAAGTGGCCAAAACCAACCAATCCCAACACATCTGTGAGAGAAGGAACTTCCCAGAAGACTGCTTCATGCTGCTCCAACAGACACAAACCAGGTGGATAACTTTAAATCAGCTACTTAGCTGCTCATGGTAAAGTGGGGGTTACAAAGACTGTGGCTAGAAAAACCATACCATGTAATTTACTACACTGCAAGTGCTAATCAAGGCCAATGTATATAACCGTTGTAGATACTTAAAACTGGCATTAATTATTTTCAAAATAACACAATTAAAAATTAGGCCAGGAAGACAAGAGCATGAAGTATTTATCTTTCATAGTCAAATCAAATAAATGCACTTTTTAAAAAATACTTTCTTGAGATCAGAGTGATCTACAAACCAAGAAACGCCAAGGATTAATGCTTTAATGCACTGTAGTGAATTAATTACTCAACATGGCCCTTCTAGCCATAGTCTTTGTGACTCCCACCAGATGACTGGATGGAACTATACAAATATGAGGTGCTTGTGGCCCACCAAGGGATTGAATATCTTGTTAATAATGTAAATAAGGTATATGGCACCCTTGTGGGGGTGGGACCATGGAAATAAGGTTTATGGAACCCTAACATGGGGATTGGTCAATTTTGCCATCACTAAGATTAAAATGAGCCATTCCAGACATGAAAGGGGGAATCTCACTACCATCTAGCTAGAAGAGCCAGGAGTGGAGTGCATCCTTTGGAGCCAAGATCCCTGCACTGAACCTCCTTGACCCAAGAGACAGAGAGAGCTGGAACACTTTGCTAAGACAGCAAGAGATGGCAAAAAGCAGACCCTGGCATGAGACAGAATGCTAGGCTTCTGGCCCAAAGAGCAAGAAAGCTGAGTGCCTTTGGGCAGGAGGCTTGTTAGCAGAGTGGGGTACCCCTCTGTGTAACACTTGCCCAAGCAGGGCAGAAGGCAAGGAGCCACAGGGCCAAGAGGCTGAGGCCAGAGAGAAGAGTGTCTGTAGCACAGCTGAGAATAGGCTGTCCTGAGCTACAAACTGTATCCTGAGTTGTTTCTGCCTGAATTGTAACCTGTTACTTCCCTAATAAATTCTGTAATTGTGAAAAATATTGTCTCACTTCACATTACTTATAATGTAGGTTTCAGAATTCATTTTCCCCCTTATACATGAAAATGCATTTAATGTTCATGACTTAATTAACATTTGGACCAATAATTCACTGATTTCCAGAGAATGGTGATTCAAAAAACATTATTTTGCTAAACATGAGCTGAATTAATGGCTTAAATTTATTGTAGTGTCTATGAGTTTAGTAAGTAAAAAAGATAGGCTAAATTTGTTATGCATTAAGATGGCGGAACAGGCAGAAAGACTATACAGACCCTCTTCAACAAAGAAAAGGGGAACCAGTTAACACAGATACAGAAGATAATCCTGGACCCCTGAGTCTTGAAGGGAAGAATACAGAAGTGGACTTAACTCCAACTAGCAGAAGAATTTGCATGAAAATACGAAAAAAAGGAGACATACAGAGCTGCGGTCTGGCAGCGATCCTGACAGCACAGACAGCTTGGATATTGCCGACTGGTGGTAGGACCTAAGAATTAACCTAAAAATCAGCCCTGCTAGCCAGGGACTGCACGGAGGAGTGCTCTAGCGGCTGGGGGATAAAAGGGGAAGCAGCGACGAGGAAGGCGGGCTGAGCTGTGAACTTTCGTCTGTCCAGAGGGCACAGCCATTCTGAATGTTTACAAGAGGCTTGACCATTTTGGAAATTTAGAGTGACAGCATTCTCCCAGATCCAGGGACTTAACAACAGGTTCCACTTGCTGGGAACCGCAAAGACGTCCCGGATGCATGGATACTGGAAAGATGTGACATTCCCCTTGTTACTCTCACACACCACATCCTCTAGTGAACAGAGGTGCAGCCATCCTTCACTCTCACCCACCTTCTAGGCTGGCAGGAATTCCATCCCAGTCTGTGCTCGGACGGAGCCTGGGTGCTCTGCCCTGATTTTTTTTCTTTTATCTTTATTTTTAGTTTGTTTATGTCTGTTTTAAAACTACTACTACTATTATTGGGAACTCTGGTAGCATAGTGCCTAAGGCACTTGACTACTAACCAGAAGGCAGGAGGTTCAAACCCACCAGCCACTCCTCGGAAGGAAGCTTGGGCAATCTACTTCCATAGTGATACTGCCTCAGAAACCCAAGGAGGGGTCACTATGAGTCAGGTCTGACTCAACGGCACATAACAACAACAACAACACTATTATTGTTACTTTTGCCCTTTTTGTTATCATTCTCTACTTCCCTACCCAGGTTCTAGTTTGCAGTGTTTTTTCTTTTCCCTGTTCCTGGTTCCAATTTTTTTTTTTTCCTTGTGGGTAACCCCTTTCCTTGTTTTTCTTTTTGTATTTTTCCCTTTTTGTTCTTCATTATGCTCCTTCTCTACTTTCTTCTCTTATTACCCTCTCCCCAGATATTGAGGAGTTTTTGTTTTGTTTT